GCCCTGCTCGAGTCGCAGCCCGCGCGGCCCGTGGCCGTCGACGCTCGTGCCCGCGAGCCCCGTGGCTCCGCTCCACCCCCCGTTAACCCGAGCTCAGTGTACCGCGCCCGTTTGGCCTTTGTGCCAATGACAAACGGGGCCCACGCCCCTGAGAACGAAAATGGATTAAAAAGGAAAGATTTTAGAAAATGATAATAAGAAATAAAATATACTAATTAATTAATTAATTAACAAATTATTTAACTTAATTAATCTAGTTTAATTAAACATAACTAATCCGGCTTAATTAAACCCTAATTAACATGTTTAGTTTATGACAGGTGGGTCCCACTGGACCCACACGTCAGTTTGACCCAGTCAACGTCCCGTTGACTACTGACGTCATGCTGATGTCATGCTGATGCCAGCATGCACTATTCTGGATAATGTTAGAATTAAATAGATAATAATTTAGAAAATGTTTTGAAACTTTAAAAATTAATAGAAAATAAACGGTAGCTCGGATGAAAATACTTTGTACATGAAAGTTGCTCAGAACGACGAGACGAATCCGGATACGCAGCCCGTTCGTCCGCCACGCATCCCTAGCATAGTGAACCTGCAACATTTCACCTCCGGTTCATCTGCCCGAAAACGCAAAACACTGGAGATACTTCCTCGGATGTTTTCCCCCCCTTTGCCGATATCACCTAATACCGCGTGAGGGCACACCTAACACTGCCGTTTGCTTTGTCACGCATCGTCATGCTTATGTTGCATTGTATTTATTGTTTCTTCCCCCTCTTCTCTTTGGTAGACTACGAGGCTGATGCTGCTGCTGGTACCCCGATCGACTATGGTGTTGACGACCCCTCCTTCTTGTCTGAGCAACCAGGCAAGCCCCCCCCCCTTGATCACCAGATATCGCCTATTCTTCTCTATACTGCTTGCATTAGTGTAGTGTAGCATGATACTGTTCGGTTACTCCTATTCTCTTGCATAGCCTGACATTGTTGCTACATCTGTTGATACCTTACCTGCAATCCTAAATACTTAGTATAGGATACTAGTTTATCATTATTGGCCCTACATTCTTGTCAGTCTGCCTTGCTATACTATTGGGCCGTGATCACTCGGGAGGTGATCACGGGTATATACTATACATACATACATACTATACAGATGGTGACTAAAGTCGGGTCAGCTCGATGAGTACCCGCAAGTGATTCTGATGAGGGGGCTGAAAGGACAGGTGGCTCCATCCCGGTAGAGGTGGGCCTGGGTTCCCGACGGCCCCCGACTGTTACTTTGTGGCGGAGCGACAGGGCAGGTTGAGACCACCTAGGAGACAGGTGGGCCTGGCCCTGTTCGGCGTTCGCGGATACTTAACACGCTTAACGAGATCTTGGTATTTGATCTGAGTCTGGCCATTTGGTCTATACGCACTAACCATCTACGTGGGAGTAGTTATGGGTATCCCGACGTTGTGGTATCAGCCGAAGCCTTCTTGACGTCAGCGACGGAGCGGCGCGCGCCGGATTGGACTGCGTTAACGCAACTTCCTTTGTAATGGAGGTTGCTAGGTCTGCTTCCGGCCGCCCTCGCAACATGCAAGTGAGCAATGGGCGATGGGCCCAGACCCCTGCGCGCATAGGATTTAGACCGGCGGGCTGACCTCTCTGTTGTGCCTAGGTGGGGCTGCGACGTGTTGATCTTCCGAGGCCGGGCATGACCCAGGAAAGTGTGTCCGGCCAAATGGGATCGAGCGTGTTGGGTTATGTGGTGCACCCCTGCAGGGAAGTTAATCTATTCGAATAGCCGTGATCTTCGGTAACAGGACGACTTGGAGTTGTACCTTGACCTTATGACAACTAGAACCGGATACTTAATAAAACACACCCTTCCAAGTTCCACAGACAACCCGGTGATCGCTTTTCCACAGGGCGACAAGGGGAGGATCGCCGGGTAGGATTATGCTATGCGATGCTACTGGAGATGCTACTTGGAGATGCTACTTGGAGGACTTCAGTCTACTCTCTTCTACATGCTGCAAGACGGAGGCTCCCAGAAGCGCAGTCTTCGACAGGATTAGCTATCCCCCTCTTATTCCGGCATTCTGTAGTTCAGTCCACCGATATGGCCCTTTACACATATACCCATGCATATGTAGTGTAACTCCTTGCTTGCGAGTACTTTGGATGAGTACTCACGGTTGCTTTTCTCCCTCTTTTCCCCTTTCCCTTCTATCTGGTTGTCGCAACCAGATGCTGGAGCCCTGGAGCCAGACGCCACCGTCGACGATGACCCCTACTACACCGGAGGTGCCTACTACTACGTGCAACCCGCTGACGACGACCAGGAGTAGTTAGGAGGATCCCAGGCAGGAGGCCTACGCCTCTTTCGATCGGTATCCCAGTTTGTGCTAGCCTTCTTAAGGCAAACTTGTTTAACTTATGTCTGTACTTAGATATTGTTGCTTCCTCTGACTCGTCTATGATCGAGCACTTGTATTCGAGCCCTCGAGGCCTCTGGCTTGTATTATGATGCTTGTATGACTTATTTATGTTTTAGAGTTGTGTTGTGATATCTTCCCGTGAGTCCCTGATCTTGATCGTACACGTTTGCGTGTATGATTAGTGTACGATTGAATCGGGGCGTCACATAGTTGCACAGAGGAGCTTGTCCTTCAGTCAACCTAGCAAATAATGAAGACCGTTGCACCATGTTGATCGCATTGTGACAAAAATGCGTGTAAAATCCAGAAGTCTTGTGATGCAACTACTTTAAAAATGAAGGCAAGCTTCTTAACATGGCCCTAATATTGCCCTTGTAGAGCATACGAGTAGTTCTTTCATCTCCAGTGCATGCAATCAAGGGATCCAAGCGTACCTGACCATCATCCTTCTTCCAAAAATTTCAGCGTCCAAAACCGCTGGGGAAATTTTCCGCCAATAGGGCATCATGGACAAAGTAGTCATACATCAGCGTCAAATGCCCCCATGCCAACACTCAAATGTCCCTTGATTGACCCCTTGAAATTCGGGGTATACTCCTCCGCGTGCTCCTCTATAAGTACTGCCTGAATCATCACTGCTTCATCCTCATATTCGTCCTCCTCATCTGACGAGGACCATAAAGTGGGTGTAGAAGTACTAGCCATCTAAATCTATCATGTTTGCTTCAAAGTAAGGAAAAAATTGTCAACATCATGGCTACGACATTTGGACAAACACTTGCCGACGTGGTGTTCGTCATGGATGGCACCTGCAGGGGAGAGGATGCCTGGGCGGCATACAAATAAGGGATTGACGATGACATAGGCATAGCGGTCCCGGTGCCCAGGTGGAGCGGCGGAGGTCTGACAAGACCTGGGCGGGTGACCGGGATGGTACAACGATGGCGTCGTCCTGAGAGGGAGTCGATACAGAGCAAGAGGTGAGGGAAGGGGTTAGAAAGACGCGGTCTCTGGATGGGGTTTTGGGTGGGCCGGGGATATCGGAGTCCTACGTGGCAGATGTCTGAACTCCCGCAAACTCCCCAGCTTTATGGGAGCTCCTAGTTAGCACTTCTAGTGATGGTTGCCGTTTCATCGCTACGCACGCGATCTCGTGGGCCATCCCATTAGCAAGTCGCTTGCATTGCTCGAACGGTCGACAACAGGATCGATCCTCGCTCGCTCGGTTCCGCTATAACTGATCCTTTTACCCTATTGACCGTGGGCATCTCAAAATTCGAAAAAAAAGTTTATCGAGTTTGGAAAAAGGTTCATCTAATTTGAAAAAAGTTCATCGAACATGGACATTTTTTATCGATTTAAAAAAATCATCAATTTGATTTTTTTATCGATTTTGAAAAAAAGTTCATCAATTTTGAAAAAAAAATCATCAAACATTGAAAAAAAATTATCGATTGGGAAAAATGTTCGTCGAATTTGTAAACAAGTTCATCAAATTTGAAAATAGTTCATTGGTTGGGAAAAAATGTTCGTCAATTTTGAAAACAAGTTCATCAAATTTGAAAAAAGTTCATTGGTTGGGATAAAATGTTTGTCAATTTTGAAAACAAGTTCATCAAATTTGAAAAAAGTTCATTCAAAATGTTTAAAAAAGTCACAACTTTTGAAAAAAGTTCACCAATTTTTGACAAGTTCATCAATTCTGAAGAAAAAGTTCATAGATTTAAATCACGCATTTAAGCAAAGAAATAAATAGAAAAAGGAAAAGAACAGAAAATAGAATATGAACAGAAAAAAGAAAAAAGAATAAGAAAAGCGAACTGGAGAAAGAATAAAAGAACGAAAGAAGTTACTATGCACAAGTGTGCGATGTCCCTAGTGGTTAGCGCGGCCCACTATGAATGTACGGGTCTCGAGTTTGATACGTCGCCCGCGCACCATTTTTTGCACTTTAAACAGATAAAAGAAAAACACAAAATGGGCCGGCCCAGCTCGCATCAAAGGGTGTGTGCTTCAGGTGCCTGTTTGCAAAATGACATATTGGGCGCGTGAAGCGCCAGATAGGAACCGCCCGGCTTTACACCCGATTTGTGGAAATTTAGACGTGTGCACTCATCCGCGGACGTATGCGATACCACGTTGACTGACAAAAACGTCCGGCCGAGTTCTTTCGGTATCTTCGGCTCTTCGCGAGAGTATCGTCTTAAAGGGCGAGCAATCAATTGATCAGGTCATGCAACATGGAGAACATGTCAAATAATCTCTATATAAATCCTACATATAATAAGCACGTGCAAAAGCTTAAGTTTGAGAAGCACACGCACATAGTCCTGCCAGTTTACTAAAACCAAATAACCAGTTTAAATTATTACACACCGCACGCGTATCCGTCATATAGAGATAGCTGATCACTACGTCAACGATCACAACACAAAGGGTAGGAGCACTACACGAATCTTCCATGAATCGAATGCTCATGTGCACACAAATACAACTATAACAATCTCAAGCAAGACACACACACACACACACACGCACACAAACAGAGCACTCCACCGAGCAGGTCTTACTTGACAAGCATGCGCACTCCACCGAGCCCTGCCAGGAACGCCAGTGGCAGAAGTGAGGCACACAAAACGCATCGGCGTGCTTGGCCGTGTGGGTGGTTGTCGGCGACGCCGGCCGAGCCCGACATCCATGTTACCGCCGCAAACACCTCCGCCAAGCCAACAAAGCCGGCGGAGGCGACGGAGACGTAGTAGGCGAGCTTGTGGTCGTCGAAGATGCCGGTGGGCAGCGTGTAGACGGCCACGGAGGTTGCCATGCACGCGGTGGTGAAACCGATGAAGCAGACCAGCCGTTCCACCGGCCACCGGCCCTCCATCCCCGACCCCAGCGGGAGCTCGCCGCCCTCGGTGCCGAGCGCCAGCTCGGGTCCCATTCCGGCCTGGACAACTAAGCTGCAAATGTCGGCCTTTCAGGTGGTAAGGATCGGAATTCAGTAGAGCTAGCAGAGCTCTCGTGTCATTGCAGGTCGACGATGCCGGAGGACAATATATAAGCCGTGATCGAGGATTCGAGGTTCCGCGTTTGGATTTCAGGTTACGTAGACATAGGCGTGGCATATCAATATGTGCGAGAGCGACAGGCTCCGCTTACGTGAGATAGAGTGTCACTGAAGAGATCAACAAAGCTCGACTGGGTTCGGATTGGCGTTTGCGAGTTTGTAATCTCCGAGTATAGCTACCCCCTTGTACGGGCAACAAGCCAACAACAAGAGAGAGCTTCGGCCTACGTGAGATAGAACGTCACTGAAATTGGATGCATGGACATGTGCTGACATACCATATCACAAAAGGCTCGCGGACGTTTGGCCCGTCGTTATCGGTCTGTCATGTCACTGATTGGAACGGTATATGGCACACGGCCAACGGCTGTGTGTGGCGTGCACGTGTTTTCTCAAGAGCCTTTTTTTTAGGGAAGTGTTTTCTCAAGAGCTGCACAAGTAATTTCTTTGATTCTTTCCGAATTTCCTTTTCCTAATTTTTTACTTAGGCCTTGATTTATATCCAATTTGATTGATAGTAGACCTGTAGCAGTTTGAAACTCTTATCCTCTCAAAAAATGTTCCAAACTCTTATTGAGTTAGACATTTTGTAGCATAAATACTTCAAACCAGGTGGAGTAAAATGCACAGAACAATCACATTTGTGTCACGATTAGCGAAAAAAACACCACTTATATTTCGTGGCATATCACACATCACCGAGTTTCTGGCCGTGGCAAAAAGCACTGGGCTATTTTTTTTTCTCGTTTTGATGTGGCTAATCTGCCGCGTAGCGAGTCAGAGGACGGTGCGCGAACCGCGCTGGTCGGAAATGTTCCCATAAAAGGAAAAGGTGACACTCCCTACTCTCACTCGCTCACTCTCACTCTACTATTTCTCCCTTCTCCTCGCTCTATCTCACACGCTCTCCTATTTGCCCTCTGCGTTGCCGCCGCTCACCCTATCGCCAGGCAGAAAGGCTTCTTGGAGAGATCTGGGGGAGAGTAGCGAGGAGGAGGACGAGTAGACCTACACCCGCATGGACATGGATTTGTGGGTATGTATTCTCTACTAGTTTTGCTTAGGGTTAGGGTTTGAGATCTTCCTTTCTCTGCCTCTCCTCTGTGGCTAATGCTTCTTGTCAATGCAAGCAAATCCAAACACCACTTTTGATTCTTCCTTCTATGGGTACGTGACTGATC